ATGCCGTATCTGTAGAAAATTTTGTGGACCATTAAAAAGATAAAATGGGAGATCAATCTTGATATTATTGTACGTTGAGATTGACATGTCTCTATCACGATGTGTGTATCATGTAACATTCGCAGACACCGATTGTTTGGGAAATCATATCTTGGCAAAAGGCAAATAATAAATTCAGTACACGGCGTGTACTGACATTACACGGGCGTGAAGAGAGCTCAGAACTCGAATTGGGTATCGATTAAGAAAGAAGTGCACATGGTGTGAGCAACAGCGACCATTATTGCTTCCGTTCGTGCATTTAGGTATATCAGATGTAACTCAAGTGCTGGTTTGGACGGGTGGAATGTCGAGAGAGGGCAAGGACGATAATAATACCGGGAAATAATAGCGGCCGACAATATATTATTATCGGATCGGTAGTTGAGGCGGTGATGATAATTATTCAGGAAGCCGCATAAATTATTGTGTCTCGATAAACGGTAGTCTCGCGCGGAATAAAGTTTCATGTATCTTCGATGTAACTTTGACGAATAAACAGGTCTTGACAATCCTGACGGCTTGTCGAGGAAAAATTGTTAAAAACAGCAGTTTATATTCGATCGATCGTGGGCGCCCCGTCGACCTTGAACAGAGACATTCACAGAGAATCCTGAGAGAAGCTGCGCCGAACAAATCTGCAGTTTCAGGGCCAGAAGACAATGGCCCCGAAGGCACTCTACTGCACCCGAGATCCTGGCTCATCGGCTTTTGAATCCCGCGTCTTCAAGGTTCGGGTAGACAACCACCTGACTCGAAGCTCGAGGGGGTAATCAAACGCACGCGAACCGCGCAGTTTTACTTTGTTCTCGATTTTCTTCCAAGTTTTCTTGCCCGTAGTTGACAGAGACCGCAGATTTCGTTTGGCTCAATAACGCGATTATCGCAATTATATCTCTTTTGGCTCTTCTTTGAAAAACTAATTATTTTGTTTAGCGAAATATTTCGAAGTTGTCGCGACAAAAATATGTGCCTATTTATTGTTACACAATTGCGTAATGGAAGTTATGATACAATGTAAAACGAAAAATAATGAGAATATAGAGAATGATTCGAAATTCCGTGCTTGATTTAATGACCGTCTTCGTCATTGAGACGCCGCGAATAAACCGCGGGCGAGTTCGAACCCACGTCGCTTCGTAGAAGCTCACATCTACAATCTATAATGATATGCATATGAATCAACCATATGTTCGCAGCCTCATTTGTGTCAGTCCTCGCACATGTTGGCGCACGCATCGTTTTTCTTTAGGCGCAAGAGTCACGCATGCAGCGAGCCAGTCAGCCAGGCTCGGTCGGACTCCAGCTCGCCGATCCCGTAGATTTAACCAAGCCCTCAAGGTAAAACCCTTCGAAAATACCGGGCTTTCTTCCGATCGGTCGCTCATTATATGCCTTCTGTTATTTGACAGTGAATTCGTCAACAAATCCAGTTTTCGTTTTCGATAATAGCGCTCTGTGTGCACGGATCGAAACTTATACGCGAGCTTACTACATTTGCATAAATTTTAGCATCTTTGCGATTCAGCTTAGAGACTTGCTAACGAAAAAAGAAGCTATTGGGGGAAGTGGTTGTTAAGGATACTGTTAGCAGTGCGATTAAGCGCGATGATAAGCGAAAGTGGCGTAAAATTTTCTCCGGAACCGCGCATCGCGAAATGATCTCTCCTTAACGTCGACGCACCGAGCTTCCTTGGCTTTCAATTTTGAGCCTCGCGTACTTATCGAGTTCATTTACTCAAATACCCGGCGGCACGATCATCGGCGCGATCTTATTGATAGTCGGCAACCACTTTCATCCCCGCCGATGAACGGCACCAGCTGCGCGGTGGCATTAAACGTTATTTTTGCAACACTTCGACCGAGCTTCGATATTCCGCTCTTATTATCTCGATTTTTTCATTAAATATAATTTGATGTATTCGCACAAAGGTTTACGCACGGGACACACCGGTTCGACAATTATTTTCTTTCGTGTTCCGAAACGATAAAAAAAAAAAAAAAAAAAACAACTAAACATTGATACGAGCAATTTGCAAGGAACTCGGGATAATTATGCGGCGTTGATAATACAAATAGCTTTTCCCCTCCTCTTCCATCGAATGACAAGGCAGCTGCCATCCTTTCGCGACGAAAGAAGCGAGCGAGCGTGCTTACGCACGCATACGACGTGTGCATTCCGTTTGATCGATCGATTCGCGGATCGATGGATCTTACGTACGCGAGAAACCATATTTACAAGCGCGCCGTGGCATCGCCACATTGACGATCGGAGTCGCGATAATTAATTACGTCGCCTTGAAAGAAAATGAATTGCTACGGGTAGCAATAACAATGCTTAATATCGCAGCTCGCTGTAAAATAAATATCACTTGTCAAAGAGATCATTTATCGGAGATTGATAATTGCAGATTTATTCAAGCTCGTCTTGAGATGCTTAATTATCATGGTGTCGACAAATATCTCATTTAACAGATGATATTTTCGTTTATTTGCATCATGTTATGTTAATTAATCAAGAAATATATCCTTGCATAAATATAAATATCAAAAAGTTAAAGAGCAAAGAAATAAAATTAAAATATAAATAAAACGTTCAGAACTAAGAAATGCCACGAGTGCAGTCAATGCGGCAAGTGATTGAGAAGATTGCTTGCTCACGTAGGATGCAGGATCGTCCTGGCAATAACGCCAGACGACGGCACAAATGAACTGGCTGCCCACGCTATAAACGTCACCGGTAACCGCGTCAGACGAGCGCGCGAGTAAGCCGCTAATTAATACGTGAAAGTCACATAAGCCGTGGGCAGAGAGTAGAGAGATCTTACGGATAAACCGTCTGATTAAGACGCCGGCGGCTAACGTTCCTAGAAATCCAAAAAGGTGGAAGGAAGACGAGAAATGGTGGCGCGTTTACGTTCTTCTTTACGACGCTGGAGAATGATACGCGCGCACGCGAGCTCAGGGTAGATTAGATCTCGCATCAAATCGTTATCAAAGATCCTACGACGAGCTTCCGCTTCAGCGACACGTGGCTTTCTTTCATTTAACCTGCGCCATGTCTTTCCAATTACTGGCCTTTGACATTAATTTGTCGGCCGGCTGACTAACGGTGGCCGGCGCACCGCGACGTCACGGCGTGCGCGTAGAGGGACGCGAGTGTTCGTTAACCAGGAAATGGAGACGTCCGCGCGTGTGCCCGCGTCGGGCATATCCGCGCGACGATGCGCGTTTATCACAGTCAGAGAAGAATAAGCGACATTTTTCTTGGTGACAGAATCACGCGGTGGCGAAGAGATTCCCTCGTCCATCGGTGAATCGCCGTCGAAACGCCCGGTGCGACTCGCCGTCGGCTCGTAATCCTCGGTGATATACGAGGGAACCTACTCGCGCAACGGTGCCGACTTTTACCGAGAAACTCGGATTTCGAGACAAGACACGTCGCGATATGCGCGGCTATGCGTTAAAGCGCATATCTCTCGAGAAACGGCCCACGTCAACGCTCCGTGTTCACTTTTCATTGTCAGACATTCGTAAGAAATAAAGTATATAAGCGTTGCAAAAATATCGCTCCTCCTTTAACTTGAATTTTTTATTTTACACGATATAACGATATAAATTTTTTTCTCTTAATCATCGTACGTTTAAATAATTTTCTAAATAAATCCTAAAAGGATAATTGTTTAAAAAGTCTATCATCAATATCAAGTTTCAGAACAATATAAATTGCAAATCCTTTGAAGTTTAATTCAAAATTTCATAAAATTGATCAAAATTTTTTAAAACATATTTTCAGAGATTTTACAATATACATAATCTTTCATTACATAACAATATGTAATATTTTTATATAAAAATATATTGATAAGATAAAGATAAAGTTATAGTAATTAATTTCTGGTTTACGATTTTTATCGCTACAAACGTTACTTATTTCTATCTGATACTTGCATGGTGTATATATATATATATATATTATATTTGTGTTTTATATATATATTGCTCGAGAAGGAAAAAAATGCGTGTACGGACGGTAGTATACGAAGCTAACGAGCGCATCATACCGCCACGCAAGAACAGAATAAGACGAGAACGTATAAATTGGTAAAAGGAAAACAATGGCAAAGCAGAAAAGAAGAGTTAAATATTTTCTCTCTTTATGACGGAAGCGGTGGATCGAGTAGCAAACTGTTAGAAGCACTCGATCGACAAAATGTAAAAGATATAAAATAATATTAAAAAATAAGATAAAAATATTATAAAGTAACGCGAGGAGATAAAAAAATTAAAATTATTTTAAATATACATAAAAAAGTATGGTGCAAAAAGTATTTAAGAATTTGTTTAAATTCTTCTATATTTATCCTTTTATCTTTTTATTAATTAAATTCTTATTTAACCAAAATTAACATTTCTTTCTAAAAACAAGATGAGATAAATTGCAAAATATTTATTCCTTAATCAACAAGTAGCAACAAAGAGATCGACAGTTTGCAGCTAGTCAATCAACGCGTTACAAAATAATTGATGTATGAAAGTTTAACGTAAATATAGCGATTCTAGCAAGTCGATTGGAGCGATTCTACCGAGTGCTGCCGATCGCTTCTCTCCCACTCATCGCGGTTGCAAGTTTCATGCGACTACGTGCGATGCGTTTCTTCTTGCCTTTTAGGTCCGCGGCAGCGATATACCCTGCGGTTCGCCGCAGTATCCAATAGTTACGAGCGCGTCATTATATCCAATCGATATCGAAAGTTTTGATCGGCTCGGCAGCTGGGAAGATCGCGGGAGCGCTGCTCCGGTCTCTCGCGTACATGTTACATATACAGGGTGTCTCAGAATGAATTTTACGCAAAATGGTAATTGTTTAGCTCCGCATACACATTGTGCACACGCATACGCATTAAGCTAGCCTCTTCACTATTACTAAAAAAAATGCATTTTTTTTATAAATTACTTACCGTCGTTGCTCTGCTGTCGTCCGACGCCTCCTAGACTTTCTCCTCTTCTGAGCGATCCTTTAAGACACTCACACGCGTCCGCGGCGCACGCATTGCTCGCGTGCGTACCCGAATACGAGAATCGCACGACACTTTAAACGACACTCCCGACGCGTATTTTGTTATGTTACGACGAAACGAATATATTGCGTAGCACCGATTACGCGCACAAAGTTTATCTGTAAAATATAAATATATTTACATTACAATAGTATCCGAAACAATACCATAGTTAAATTAGTTATACAGAGTATCTCAGAATGATTATGCCAACGATTTTTCTATTCAGTTTACTTTCCTTTATCCGCTCACGAGCGTTGGCACAATTATTCTGAGACACCCTGTATATTATATATATGTATATGGAAAATATATACATATATCACAAGAGAGGAGACGTATGTGGCGATTGAGAGACGTGTGGCGAGCGAGATACCTCCACTTCGCGTGATTATCTGCCCACATCATTCAACCGGAGCCCGGCCCCGGCTTATCCTTGCGTAGGATATTGGTTTTGAATCTGATAACCGCCATTAAAGCAGCTTTCCACCCGTCGTCCCCAAGCTTGTCCGCGTAATGGAATATAAGATAAGACGAAACCGTCTCGCGCGCGGTACGTCTGCCACGGACAGTTTTGATCGCTTATTTCACGGCGACTACGCGCGAATGGACATTAAACGTTGTTCGACTCGATCGGCTCCGTATCTCTCATCTCTCGCGTCAAGAGAGGACCCTCGGCTCTCTGGCTCTGCGGGATAATCGATTACACCCGCGACAATATTTTGCAGTCGATAGAGACGTCATCCCTTTGTGTTGCGATAAAAGTATGATAATAATAGAGTCATGTCGATGTCTCATCGTCATGCTACGTACGAATCACCGTCAAATAAATCACTGAAGATGTGTGTCTGCTAAGCACATCTATGATTTATTATAAATAAAATCTCATAGTTAAAAAATGTGATAACTTATTGCGTTGTATCGACAATAGCTGACAGACGAATGTCGATATGCTAGATTATATTTCTAGAGATTAAAATGTTCAACGCGTGACACGGTTGAAATACATTTTAAATTGTAGCGGTCTAACAACCCGAGAAAAAAATGGTATAATATGGTCAGATGTAAATATATATAATTAGTTACGAAAAAATTTGACAACATGTAATATTTTATATGATTCATATAAAATTACATATGTTATTAGATCTTTTTATAACTAATTATATATATTTACATCTGACCAATTATATCATTTTTTCTCGGGAATGTGTTAATTTTCAGTAAAATCGAAATATTATCGCAAAGTTAATATACATATATTGACGATTTGATGCACATTTGTAAATTTGTAATATTGTTTGTAGCAAATAACAAATTGTATTTTTGATTAAATAAATATTGATGAATAACTCTACACTTATAGTAATATTTCACAAATAGCACGCGTCATTAAAGTCATTATGTTTATAAATCTTTTATTAGACATTCTATGAATCGGCAATCCATGCCCCAACGGCCGTTCATAATGTTCGTATCGTAATTACCGCGTCATTAACAATCCCCATACATAGACTATCCATTGTGACGCAGCTTCTCTATTTCCCGTTATGAGAAGCACTCTAAATTACTATCGTCTAAAGTTTCCCGTGCCTGAAGGGCCGGCGAGTCGCCTAAAAAGAGATTCTTTCCGACTTCGTGCTCTGAGTTGTGACAACCAGTCCGAGTATGATGGATGACTGGCCGAACCAATCTTCGATTCAATCTTTGTTTGTCAAGGCACTGAGCCGAGTTGCGTTTACGCGGATTAACGCGTTGACATATATTCTTCTATTAAGGTCCGCATTACATTCATGTTTACATTCACGAATCCAATTCAATTAAGCGATGCGTGGCAAGCTGAACTTAATTTAAATCAATTATCGCTATGTCGCGAAGGGTCTTGTGAAACGTAAGAACATAGTGCGTCTTGAACGCTATTTCGTCCATAGCCCTCATTACAGACGGCTACCGACTAGTCGGGAGTCGAAATATTTCCTTAATCGTTAGAACGGATCTCAGTACGAGACAAAAACAGATCATGGGACAAAATTCGACGTGTACCCCGCGAGCTCGACGGGTACGAACGGACCGTGCGAGAGCAAGTGGGCGGAATGTTCAACCGTCGTATCGAATCGAGGCTCAGAGATCCTATCGAGATGACGCACTGCGTATGCACCTGATACCGGACGGCGCGCGCACATAAAACGACGATCGTGCGAGAAGGAAGAGAGTTATTCATCAGTAGGCTTATTTTAGAAGCCGAATTGCGCGGGATGAGACTGGCTTGTCCGGTTCGAAGCATTCCGATGCGAACGAGCAAGAGAGACGAAAGAAGGATGTATCGGAACAATGACAAGTTCTCTTCTTGTAAGAAATAAAAAACATTAAAAATGAAAACCGAGTTTTAAAGAGCGGTATTTGATATAAAAAAACGATATTTTATATGCAGCGACTGTAATCTAAATAAACGAAAATTAATTGCTCGTGACAGATTAAGATAACGCGGAATATTTACATGATATTAACCATGACAAATAAAATACGCATCGATAAAATAAATTAAGAAAGAATGTGGAATTGTAAATTACTGGGACATATAATAATACTTTCGATCAACTTTGTTAACGAGTTCTTCCGCCACAGCGCCGGCTTCATTAATTCCGCCGTGATTCCGCATATAAAAACGTGCGTTCTGTCATCCGTATAATTAGCAGCATATCCACAACTTTATCAGTTCACCATAATATTATCTTTATCTTAGCCTGACTTTTTCGTTCGCCACAACGACGCGGCTATAAAGTACGTTTACACGTTAATTAGAATTTAATACCCGATGAGTTTCTTCGCGTCGACTGGATAGAGATTTATCTGCGCCGCGAGAATAAATTCGCGATTCGTTAGGAAATGCTGATCGCCTCGAGCAGATTGCACGCTTGGTAGCAAGATGTAACCAACACGTATTTTGCAGGAATCATTGCTGGCGGTAAGCCTGTACGATGTGGAAGCCTGGTACCTCCCACACGACATCGCTCGAAGTGATGGACGACCGAGGTCATTCATGGATTTGACCCATACGCAATGCGCGATACGATCGCACCGACTCTAAAAGTTACATCCCGGGAAAATTATCGTCAAATTCGGGTAATCCAAAGTGTAAAGAGAAGATGATTGCACGGAAAATCTTTTCTAAAATATGCTGCAAGTAAATTTTTTAAATCATTACATTCATGCATCGCAAATATAAGAATCATAAAGATAAATTATATATTTCATATAAATTATTCTCGTTGAAAGAATAATTTATATCTATGGAACTTATAATTTTCCAAATTGAGTATATTTCTAATAACGCTTTGATTGTACATAATATAAATTGAAATAATCAAAGGGTAAACGAAACGTTCAGCAATAGCATGTTCCCCAACGTGCGATACGGACGATGTCGCGCAATCCTTTTAATAAAACGGAATTTTTCAATCTCTCAATTGCATGAACTAGGCCTCATTATGGGCGCTAGACTAATTACAAAATTAGATACGTTTCACCGCGGCAAGAATGCGGCTACATCAACATCGACAATTAGTTCGAGCAGAATAAAGCTTTAACCGCACATCGGCTACGCGAAATTAACCTCGTTAATCGTTATGCCTGTGTTGCAATTTGCAGCTCCTATAATGCATGCCAGAAATATGTGCTAATATGAAATTTCTCTGTTTGTCACATAAGAAGGCATCTGTATTCCTATCTTAAAATTATTTTCTCTCCCAATTATTTTTTCACTCAACTAATTATAATTAATGATGCGTAATTCCTAAAAATTATTACAGTATCCTGTTGAATAAAGATTTCAAGAGATAAAAAAATCACTGCAATCAATATTGTTACTCCCGGATTTCCTGAAAATAATTTTCTTAGCAATTTTAAAGTTGATTTACTCATCGTTGATATTAATCCGACGAAGTGCGCAGAATTTATGTTCTCGCTAGTTCGAGCGTACGGCAGTAGGGTTACCAACGCGCTAACAGGAAGATTAAACAAAAACGCGAGACGGATTAGCAAAAAAATGAGCAAGAAGAGGAATCGGCGGCCGGTAGCACGGAGCGCTCGTTACCGAAACGAAACGACCACTTATAATTTAGGATAAGGTCGGACGCAGCTCCGAGGAAAGATGGGAGGGAAATATCAGCGATGGTATTTAGTGCCTTCTTCGAGCGGGGGGAAAAAGGCTGATTATTATTTACGCCCGACGGGAGAGCGTAAATCGTTGTACGAAGAAACCCGCAAAACATCAGAAATTTTGCGCGGAGCGGGATGCAAGACGAGGCTCTCTCGCAAACCTGCGACTCCAGGAAGTGTCGGCGCAAGAAAAAGAGGAATCGCCACTTTTGCGGCATTCGCTAATGAAAAATTGTTTGTTCCTTCTCCAGAAAAAAGAGAACGTTTCATTTTCGCTTCTGCGTAATATCTTGCACATAAGTACGTATTATATAGTTGCATTCTTTTGCAACAAAAAATTATGAATTGCTGAGACTCGACAAAAATTCCGATTTCTGTGATTTATGATCTCACATATAATTATCTTAAGACTTCTAATTTTTTGATACTTTTTAAAAATAAAATAGTATAAATTTATAAAATATATTAGTGATTTTATTATTCAAGAGCGATTGCGTTACTGCAGTTACATTTCTATACTAATTTTACTCGTTATGTTTTTAATAGTCGAATTGTACAAATAACAAAATTACTGAATCAACGCTGCATAAATAATAAATTATGCCAAAACCTACACGGTATAAATTACACAGACATATCGTACGCAGTGGACGCGTGTAAAACAAATTAATTATGTTAGCATTCCTGCGTCCGCGTTTAATTTTCTAATCAGTTCATGTAGATTCTCTTGAACGCTTGTCTCTCTTTCTCTCTTTTGCCGGCACACCTCGTTCCGAGATGATTAAAAAGTCGTAGGCCGATTTTTACTGCTACTCGACACGTTCCTCCGCTAACTTCCTCATTAAATCTTCAAGAGCACCACTCGCCGCCGATCGATCGTTTCGTAAACTAACCGTGGATCGTATTTCCGCGTACCGGATCCCCGCGCCTTATCAGCCAATTCGATCGCGCAAAATTTATC